GTAAGACTTACGCGCCTATAGTTTCCTGGGTCCTCCTTCCTCCCTTTTTTGAAGATGGGTACTACACATTGACCCTTTTCCAGTCCTCCGGCACATCGCCCGAGCACCATGAGTGCTTGTGGAGCTGTGCCAGAGGTCCCACAAAGACCCCTGCTAGTTCCTTCAGCACTCTAGGTTGGAGATCATCAGGACCTGCGGATTTAAATACATCTAGTCCCTCCAGAAGTTCCCTGACAAGGTCCTCATTAACTCTCATTAATCAATCAGATGAGATTCAACAAGGACAAGTACAAAGTCCTGCATTTGGAATGGAATATTGCATGCACAAATACAGGCTGAGGAATGACTGTATAGGCTGCAGTTTGGCAAAAAAGGACCTGGGGCTTACAGTGGACTATGGGAAGTGATTCTTCCTATCTACTCAGTACTGGTGAGGCCTCACAGTACTGTGTCCACTTTTGGGTCCCACATTTCAAGGAGGATGTGTATAGTTTGAACAGAGTCTAAAACAGAACAACAAAAATGAGGCCAGATTTATGAGAAAAGGCTGAAAGAGCTAGGTTTAGTCTGAAGAAGTAGAATGGAGGGGGGTGGGGATGTGAAACCAGTCTTCAAATACATGAAGGCTGATTACAGAAAGAATGGAGATGGGCTTTTTTGGTGGTTGTGTGGGGCAGGACTAGGAGCAAGTTACAACAGAGGAACTTTAGGTTGGAAATTAGGAGGAACTTTCTGACCATAAGGATGATCATGCATTAGAACAGGCTACCTAGAGAAGTTGTGAAATGTACATCACTACAAGTTTTTAAGATTAGGTTAGACAGACCTTTGTCTGCAATTATTTAGTCAGGAATGATCCTGCCTTGAGCAGGGGGCTTGCCTAGATGATGTTGTGAGGTCCCTTATAGGCCTACTTTTCCATGATGGTTATCCTTTGTAAAAAGTCTTGGAACTCCTGATACTTTGGACATATTACATGGGGTTTTTTCTATTCATCCGATTACTATTGTGCACTTTACCAATATTTAAAGGCATGGGCGACTGATGCCTCCTGAGTCAGGGGGGGCACTTGCCCTGCTAGCAAACAGTCAGCGACCTGGGGGGGGGGGGGGGGGGGGGTCAAGGGGGGGGGGGGCGGTGGTGGTCCAGCTGATCCCACTGACTCACAAGTGGCAGCAGTGCACTGCTGGCACTTCCAGGTGAGCATGATCGGCTGTGGGGAGACCGCTTCTCCTGGTGCCCCACTCCCTGGCCAGTGCTCTCAAGGGGGGCACCAGCACTCTCACCTGCCCCCCTGCCCAGGAATGCTGTCTGCCAGGGGATGCACCCCCTGAGAGCACTGGTGCACATGCACCCTCTGTGCACCCCTACACATTACTAGTGTTTAAAGGACAATGAAGGTGCCATTTGAAGTTTTCTCCCAGTGTGCCTGGGTTATGGGCCATCCCTCAGTTAAAGGATGATCTCTACCATGGCTCATTGATGGCTCTGGATGGGTGATTTAAGAATTCAATCCTTGAGCAATAGATGTCTGCAGTAGTTGTGGGTGTTTTTGTATGGGTGAGTAGGCTGTAGACTGAGATTCTTCTTTTTCTTTTCTCTATTCTCTCTTCTCTGCTTTGAGGGCAAGATGCTTTATCATGAAATGGGCTACTGCTTGGTTGAGGTGCAGTGTCCTTGCAGTTGGTTAGTAGCCAGCTTGTCCCAGTATCCATTTTGATATCAGTACCCATTTTTTGACATATCTCTTCAATGTGCCCTTGTAACTTTTCCTGTGGTCACCGCAGCTAAACTGGGAATAGAGAACTTGTTTTGTGAGTTGAGAGTTAGGCATCCACATACAATGTTCAGTTCAGTGAAGTTGGTGAGTGTAACAGGCAGAAGGCTACCCTTTCCTTGCCCTGCTGACAAGGGCCTAATACCCGCCCCGACCTCCCCTCCAGTCCCATGCCTTGTAGATGTTAGTCTCTGTGAGTTACTTCTCCAGCCTATGGTTGGAGCAAACTGGGCACACAGTTGTAGCTGTTCTCTATAGCCCCAGAGGGCCACACACATGCCACCCCTCTTTCACCAGGGTCCCACTCACTCTGCTGGCTCTTACTCAGATTCTCTCATACTGCCCTCTCTCAGGGCCACACTCATCCTGCCTGGCCTCACTTGGCTTTGGGCTTAGCTCTCCTCACCTCAGTCAGCCCTGGCGCAAGCTGCTGGGTGTCTCCTGCTACCCTCACCTGAGCATTGACTGAGCTATTCTACAACTATAGGCCTATTTCACTGCTGGCCCCTCACTGGGCCCCTATGCCTTCTCTGGGCCTCCTCACTCACCCACATTCATGGGGCCACTCTAATCATTGCCCTTCTCACTCAGGGTCTCACTCACGCCCCCAGGCTTTACCCTGCCACCTGGGCGTGGCCCCAGGTCCCTCCACTGGTCTGAGCTTTGCTTCAGGGCTCCTTAATGAGTCTGGGCTCCTTTTACTAATTAGAACACCACCAGAGATGTGGGGCTGGGGTTACAAAGTGCCCTGACCCACCTTTCACCAGGGAGGTAACTGGCCTACCATTTCCTGGGGCCTCCCACACCACTAGGAGCCCCATCAGATCACCCTTCCCTGGCAGGGTGCAGTTTTATGTCTTATCCAGGACAAAGGGTCACCCCATAGCCAGCCCCTGCCCCTTTTAGTTGTAATTGTAGTTGTTTTTGTAATACTAATTCTTATAGCATTGTTTGGGAAGGAAGTGCATTCGGAGCATTGTTTCTGATATATGTAATTATTGTGTTCTTAATGTTTATGGTATTTCTTAAAGCTAAGCAGTGTTATATGCGTAGCAAAGAATTTTAAAATAAAATTGTGTTGTATGAATTAAGTGTGTAATCATTGTGAAATCGTGCAATCAACTAACTACTCCCCCAGCCAGTGCATCAAAACGAATCAGTAAATTGTGTGGGATTTTCTCTATTCCATAACCCACTAGAGACATGTACCACCCCATTTTTTTCTAGTGTGGGTTTTTTTGACACTAGGATCTCCCAGAATCAAGAACCCCACCCACGCTGCAGACTAGGAATGAGGGGAACACCTGCATGTGTGGGGTGGGTGGCGTGCAGTGCCACCTACCGCATGTGCACACTCGTCTGGAACTTCAGGGACATGACCAGATAGCAACAGACAGCTCTGCTTCAAGGAAGGCATATACTGGGGCAAAGGGTACCCAATCAAAGGTTCTCTGCTTCCTCCAAAGGGTTAAAAACTTTGCTGACAAGTGTCTGCTAATGTTAGAGCTTCAGTCTTGTCCTGTCCCTCACATAGGCAACTCTATTTTCTTCAGTCTGTCTCTTTAGTTCATTCTTTCCCTTTGCACAGGCTAATGAAACAAACAGGCATGCAACACTGTGACAACATGAACATATTTAAAAGTAGAAATATTACAAATAAACTCGCAGTCCCTCATACTGGGATGTGGGCAATTACGAAACCAGAGCCAGGAACCAGCAAAGCAATCTGGAAGCACACAGGAGTGCTCTGAAGCCTGAAAAAGGAGCCACCAGGCAGAAGCCAGGAACAAGGATGAAGCCAGATAGCCCCTACGCAGCACCTGGGGATCAGGAAACAAACAAGCTGGGCCCAGAGAACTGAGCTCAAGGAATCAGAAGCCCAGGGTTAAATAGAGGCATCTATCCTGTTGAGTACCAACCAGACACTTACAAACAGGCAGCTACACCCATAGTCAGCTGGGGACAGCTGGGGTAGTTAGGACCCTGGCAGCCAAGCCCTATCAGGCCAGCTGGGGGCAATTTAGCTTGCTGGCTGCCCTGGCTCCTGACATACACCAGTTTATCATCTCCTAAATACTTAGCACCTCTTCTGTTCACGTTCATTCCATTATTTTATTAGAAACTGAAAGTAGAGTTACCTGACAGTAATTGCTAAGATTTTCTATTTCTTCTTTAATTATCTATAAATACATCTCCAGTTTTCCTGATAAAAGTCTTGTAGCAAGGATAAAAGTAGAAACAATAAAGCTTGATAGTCTCCTGGAGGGTAGCCGATGGTATTATACTGGTCTTATATATTATACTGGTCTTGGATAAGTCTGTTCATCAGCCCCATAGTGAAAATAGCTATTATATATTAAAGTTGTCTAAAATAATGTAAAAGAAAGTGTGCTTATGCTGAGGTATTTCATCAGATATTTAATTGTTATTTGTGCTTTACTATATTACCAAACTAATTTATAACAGCTCCTGTTTGCACCCAATTGGATGCTACTCATTCTGCTAGTCAAACAGACAATGGGTTCCCCCTTTTTTTTTTTTTTTTAATCATACAGACCACATCTTGGAAAGAGAGACTGGACATTTCCAAAGCAGTCATAATACTCTGGACTGCTTTCTCACCCTTCCATAATGGCATAATCTTTTTCTGTTAATTCCATGGAAAAATATTATGCGGCTAATAATGTATTTGTGCAAGTTTTGTTGTGTTCTTAGAAAATAAAAAAAAAAGTAGCAAATCATAAAGCTGTTGCTTTTTTCAGTCCTAATTCCAACATCTTTCATGGTATACAGGAAATAGAGGAGAAAACCCAGGAAGGGACCCTCCTTGGTCTAATCAAGTTTTTTCTTGTCACAGGCCATGTCACATGACCCCTTTAATGACCTTAATAAAAAAAAAACAAACTATAGGGTGCCTATACACATGCTATAACACATTTTAATTAGAATGGGTCAGAGCAGACTTGATTAATCAAGTCTCCTGGAGCATTCTAATTAGAACACTTCAGCATGATGTGTATTCGGTCCCCACATTTCAAAAAATGCTGATGAGGCACTTTGACTAAAACTCATCAAACAAGCTCTAGCTAAAGCACTGACACAGCCGTTTTGAAACACAGGACACTGAATACATGTGAGGCTGTGATGTTTTAATTAGACTGGCTCCCGGACAGCTGTTCTATTTAAAACTCCCTCCACCCCCAACCTGGAGCATGTGTACAGACACCCATAATGCTTTATGGAAGTCCAGATGGATAAGGTCTATACACAGAGTCATACGGTAAGACATTTGTGCCTTATCATAAGGCTCACAAATGTACCTCCTTACTAGAGCAATATATTATAGCAATAGTTTAAAGTTTTTTTCAATAATACCTAAACTTTTTGTTGTTGTGGAAAAATGTGCAATTTAAGAATAATTTGCTATTTATTGAATACTATATACTGTGGTGTTAGATAATAGTAGACTTAAAAAAAACAAACTTGTTATAAACATGTACTTGCTTGAGATGATCCCCCAGTACAGCTTACAACTGTACTTGCCTTTACAGTTGTAAATCTGTCAATCATATAACATCTCTGAAGTTAATTTTGCTAGCTAATGCCTGCTTAATTGATAGGAGGGTAAAGGCTGATAGTTTTAATGAGCTTCAGTTTACTAAGACCACGTTCATAAGATGTAGTAGTCACTGAAAATATCAGAAAGATAGAGAACAATTTCTATATTTGGATGCAAAGCAGTCAATGATCATTAATGTGTTAAATTTAACAGCAGAGGTGTGTTGCCTTCTGTAGGTCTGGATCTGATGCAGCTGCTTGTAATGTGAAGCTCTCAATTTCAGTGGCTAATTCAAAACAGTGTATATCAGGACAGTGTTTAAAAGTAAGGTCTGCTGCATATTTCTTCAGGTCAGAAACAGACAATATTGAAAGTTTTTTCCTCAATGAGAAAAATCAAATTCTAAATGCAATATTGGAAAACACCTAGAATCTGCACCTTGGCTCAGAAATGAGAACATCAATCAACTCATTCCATTTGTACCTTGAACAATTCTCTTGGTGTTAGCAAGCAACCATCATCATTTGCTTTCACAAATGTTATTTTCTTAGTCTTTCTTCTTTTTGTCATAGAATCTTGGATGCAGGGACCTGGTTTTGCTGTTTTTGTTGCTTGATGAAAAGCTCATTACAACCTGTGTTACTTAATTTGCAGAATGTTTCTAACAAGCCTTTGATATGTTTAGAAGCATTATCTCCAGCTATGACACTGCTCTGAAGAACTGAGTTAGCTGTCAGTAATTAACCTGTGCACTGTGCCACACTAATACATTTGTATTGCTTCTGATTCTACAGCTTGTGTGTGCAGAGCAAGTCTGGGGCATTGAAGCATGGTGCAAACTTGCACCATATAGAAACCAATTGGCTCCTCAGATTACACCCTAGTAATTTTGTGTTGTATATAGCTGCACAGATGGGACTGCCCACATTATGGCTCTAACTATAATACTTCTTTTAGCTAGAACAGGGGTATCAAACATACAGACTGCAGGCTGGTTACATCCCTCTGCCTCCTGGGTGAGTCCAGGAATTTTGAAGTGGAGTGAGCAGGAAGTGGGACCCACCATAAAATTGAGGACTATGGGCCCCTGATGGGGATGGCCTTCAGCTGAAGGGGGTTGAGCAACATCTGTGCTGACACAGCACCGTTTTTGCTCTGCCACCTCCTTTTTCACCACTACTAGGTCTGAATTTAGCCCATAAAAGACCCCACAATCCAGACTGGGTCCAGAGGGTGAGGTGAGTTTGACACCACTGATTTAAAAAAGGTATTTTATCAAAAATATTTTTTTTAGTCAGGCACTATTTGCCTTTGGCAAAGCCATGCCTCATTTTTTCCCCTTTTCTATTTGCCTCCTTGTCTTTAATTGTTCTTACCTTCAAAAATTTGTTCTGAAGCCTTGCATACTACTGAAGTCAAACTAAAGGGTCTACTGGTATTTGGTTCCATTGTTCCCCTTTCTTAAGTTCAGGTACTACATGCTTGCTAATCTTTGATATGAGGCTCATGCCTACCAAATTGAAGTGGGTAGTAAAAATTCTTACTGCAAGATATGTGATACTTCACTCACTAGTTGTCTCAGAAATCTCAGGCAGATTGTCCAGTTGTCCCAATTTAAGCAGATTAAACAGACAAGTGTTTAAACAGATAAAGCAGACAGCATTGTGCACTGCTCCCATTGTGATGGTGCAATTTTCATATTCTCATTGCCATTAGTCACCTTGTCTTAGTCTCCATGCTAAGTATCACCACCTTAAAAACTGGGATAAAGTATTAACTTAGCTTTTGAACCACATGTAGCTTGTCTTAATCTTGACATCTTCACTGCACAGTGGCTCAATTTCTTTCATAATTGCTTTTTTTGTATACCTTCACAGTCTTTGCAAGGTCCTATTCAGCACTTCCTGATTTCTGTGACAAAGCTTTCTTCACCAATTAGTTCTCTTTTCCATTACTCATAAGCTCCCTATTTATTCCTAAAATACTCCGAGATTATTATCCCAGCTAGGTCTGGAGCCCTTCCTATTAGATTTCTGTGTGTCCCCCCTCTTACTGAGGATGTATGTTCCAGACAGCTTTTGCACATTTGGAATTTTTTTGCACAAGAAATTTCACGCCTCCTCCATATTCAAGTCCTTGAGTTCTTCAGTCCAATGGACTTTACATACTAGTTGCTTTAACATGCTGCAAGCTGCCAATTTGAATCTTGCTACTCATCTGTTTTTGCTTATTATTCTATTTAATTTAAATAGAATCAACTTACAATCATTTTATACAAGATTATTTTGTATTATGAGCTCTTGCATAATGGCTTCACTAAAACTAGGTCTGAAGTGGCATCAGATCTTATTGGTTCATGGAGTATTTGATGAAGAAATCTGTTTAATATCACATTCCAAAACAACATTATTTTTAGCATTTGCTTTCCAGTTGTGCCTGCATCAGCTGCTCCATAGTAACTACCTATGTGAATGCTTTCATTTTGTGGTGGATGAAAGCAATATGAGACAGTTGCTGCAAAGCAGCTGATGTTCAGTAAATTCCCATTCCCTCCTTCTACATCTTGGTAACTAGTTTATGAACACCCACTCTATTTCAGCACTTCTTATTTCTTTACATTTTACCTCATTAATGTATAGTGCTACCCTCCAACTTTAGCTTTATTTCTATACTTGCTGTAGAGTGAATACCCCTTAATACATGCTTTCAAGTCATAACCAATACTCCACCGTAACCGTCATCTCTACACCATCCAGTTTCATATCTTGCACCAGCAATTTTACTTCCTTTATACTGTTGCTGGGCTCCTTGAATCACTATAGAAATGCTTCGGTTTTTTTCCTCTGTTGCCTTGCCCAGATTTGTAGCTGAATTAGTTACCATCCTTTCACTGCTTTCATCAATAGTAATATATTCTTTCCTTGCTGACCATCTTACTATCCTATATTAGTCATTTACACCTTACTGTATTCTTGCTTCCTTCATTTTCCTGAATATTATAAGCAGGCATGGTGATTACATAAATCTCTTCCAATCTTTGCTCTTCAACTGGCACTCACACCCATTTAGTTTCAGCAGGTTATTACCCTCATCATTCTGGTAAAATTCATCTGTTCAGAAGAGTTTTTTTTCTGCAAGTCTCCCAGCAGTCAAACATCCTCAGCTTTTCTCAAAGGACAAATCTGTTTCCTATCTGTTGTTCTTTCACTCTCATATTACATTTTACCTTACTTCTTCTAATGGGTGAAAGAATTCTACTGAAGATCACTCAACCTGTTTGAGAGCTGTCTTTGAACTGTTCCAGTGGGGAACAGGCAGTATAATATAGCCCAAGATGCAGAACAATTAGGGACTTTCCTCATCCAGTCAAGATCTTTTTCAGCCCATGCCCATATCCTGTTTCCTGATACTTGGCAGATAATACACCACTGGTTTTCTGAATCTACTCTGCTGATAGGTGTGCCAGTTCCTAACACTAAGTCCCCAGTAGCAAAGACCTGCCTCTTTTTTGTGTCAGTGTGAATCTCAGATTCTCTCCCTTCTGTTCTTTGCTTTTTTTCCAGTGTCCTGTATAACATTCTCATTCGTTTGAATGCTACAGCCCCTGGTTACTTCCATCATTTCTCCCTCTCTTCTTGTGGAAATAACTGCCTTTTTCTTCCTCAACACAATATCTGTTATCCCTGTTTCTCTTCTATGCTCTCCAGTGCAACAAACCTCTTCCTCAGTTCTGTTTCTGCTCTATCAGCAAGTCTTTTTCTCTGCCTAATTATGTGCTTCTGTAGTTTGCCTTCCTTAGCCTACAGTCTGATATCAAGATCCTCTTATTTTGCACGGATATGCAAATCTTGAGTTGTCCGTTCACCCACCTCTCTCCTTTCTTACATCATGCCTTCAAATTCCTATCTGAAATTCAGCACCATCTTCAACTGCATCTGTTGTCCTTAGATCTTCTGTTCTGTGAGCAATACTAGGTGATTCTTCATGCATAGATAGGTTCTGTCAGTTATGCACTTAAGGAAAATGTACATGCTGCATCTTTTGCATTCAGTGATCATCGTTGTCTGCATTGTTTTGGACACGTCCCATGCTGCCTCAATAGCAATCATTGTATTCAAATCTCCTTAACATCTCCAACTTGAGCACCCCTATTTTCTGATGCTTGTTTGCTGACTGGCCTGGTTGTTGGCCATTTGGCCTTTAAGCTTTGGTCTTGGTCAACCTTGCTCTCCCACTTAGGTTCAGTTGTTAACTGTTTATCAGTATTGGTCAGAGGTAGAAAGCATCTCTCAACCAAAAGGCCTTTGTCCTACTTACAGGATACCCAAACAGACTCTCAAATCTACAAACTGCAACCAAATGAACCACCAACCTACACACAAAGAAACAAACACTTATCCAAAAAGCAGTCCACACAAACTTCTTCATTTCCCATTTCATTTGCTGACCCCTCTGGTCATTGCTGCTCAAGAATATACTTTTATATACTGAAGCAATTACATGAGCTATCAAACTTCAGATTTACAGCGTTCGGAAAAATGTTCCACCCTTATTTCCTGAGATATTGATACTCAGGGAATTTTTGACTCAGAAAGAGTACTATCAAATAAATCCAAACTCTGTAATAATTTGCAACCTAATCCAAAGGTCACTGACATCAATAGGAGTCTTTCAATGGATACTGAATTGCATCTTTACTGAACAATGGACATTTTTATACAATTTCCAGTACCTGAACTTAATGAGAAATATTGTTTTCAAATGTAAATGCTTAACAGGTTTCCCTAGAGGGAAAAACTAGGACACAAAAGGACATTTATTAGCATTGACTAAGAAAATCAAATTCATGAAGAGTACAAACTCCTCCGGGGGGAAAAATATTCAAATTAAAAATGAAAAATTACAAGTACTTTTGTGCATTTAAAGCTTGTATTAGTTGTAAATAGGAAATAGGTATTTGGAAAAAAAAAAAAGAAGCCCTCAACAGTATTTATATGTTTAAAAAAAAAAAAGCACATCTTTGAGAACAATTGATTAAAACAGGCTGCAATTACAAAGACCCATCCACCCATGTCAAAGAAGTAGAATGGAGCAGCCTTATATATCATCGTCATTCTATCAGCTACTTACAGCTTAACTGTATGGGAAAAAATAAATGAGATTGGAGATGAGCGAGAGAGAAGAACAGAGGTGTGGGAAGAACAATGAGAAAGGAAAGAGCATGGATTCTACCTGCTCTGCATGCCAGGAGACTGCTTCAAAGTTCAGGTTTGAAATATTTAGGGACAAATTCATTTGTGGTGTTAACTGGCCTGGAATTAATGGAGCTGAAGCAGGAACGCATTTGTCTTCCAGGCTCCTGGGACCTAAAATATGTGTCCCAAAAGGAACAACCAAGACTTTTGGCCTTCTAAGATAGATGAATTGACTTCCATGAAGTTTGTTGCACTTGGGTCTTTCAGATTCTTAGTTATACTTACTGTACTGACTGTCCTGGCTTCCATTAGCATATAGATCCTAACCAAGAGTAACCTTGATAGGAAGGTAGGAAGCTTGCTCAGAGAAGTATTTACTATTGAATAAAATGACTGCATCTTTCCTTTCTCTTTTCCAGCAAAAAGTGGGAAGTTTTGATAAGGTAAGGAACATGGCTGGAGCAGCTGGCATGTTAGACTTGTATCAATTCAGGTTACATTTCTCCTATGGAACTCTCATTGGAGAATAAATCTACTCCTCTTAACAGACCCTTAGGGGATGATGATGATAGAAAAAATGCTTTCCTCTCCCCTGGGTATGAATTCCATGCCAGCTATGGTACACTGACTGGAACAAAGAGGTGAATCTGAACTGACATTTTGAAAGCCAAGGTTGGAGCATTCTGTGTGAATGTTAAGGATCCCTTGGTACTCTTATTAAAAAATTATCCCAACATCCATTGCTACCAGTTTCTCTTTCCTTTTTTGCTGTGAAGTATAGTAAGTACAGGTTGCTGGCTTTACTCCAATGTGCTAGAGGTGCTGTCTGAGCCTTTTGGATTCTTTGTGGAGACTTTTATTATATAACTTAGCAGTACTTAAAACTGAAATGTCCAGATTTCCAAATAGTGGAGATATTTGAATTTTGATTTCCAACTTACGCCAATGTAACATTAAAAGTTAAACTCTATTTGACAGCACTCAGACCCATTAAAAAAAAAAATCGGTTTCCTATAAGAATTATTCAAAGTTATTTGGAAAGAATGAGACGCGCTACTGCCAATGCTGAAATACTGTCCGTTAAGCTACCTGTGAGATATGGGACAGTAAATTCACTTGTTATGACTTTAGGATAGAGAGTTTTGGGAAACCTGTCTAGAGATAAAGTTTACTTTTGATTTCATTAACTTTAAGTTTCAAAAACAGATTTATTTGGAGGATAGAGATGATGTGAGCAGGGGAATTAGCAGTTCGCCCAATATTCAGGAAGATACTTAAAATATTCAACTAACTTTAAGAATGGGTTCATAGACTTAGTGGCTAGGCCTGTGTGAATAGGGTACTACTCAATTCAAATTCAGAAGGATGCTTAGGATGTCAGAGATTTGATTTGGAGATCCAAATGTTTTTCCAATTCGATTCAGCCGAATCACTTTGGAAGATTCGGAGCCGATTCAGAAATTTGGCCATAGAGTATAATGGGGAAATCAATGAAATATCTATAACTTTTTTGTCTTTTGGCTGGTTTGGATGAAACTTGCAGAAGTGGTAGCCTCTGCTGAGAGCATGGGGTATGCCAAGTTTAAGGTGGTTTGTGCAGGGGTTTCTAGGAAACTGCACTTCAAAGTCTTGAAATTTAAAACTCATATCACTTGCGTGTGTTAAGCCACAATAGGGTAAAACTGCAGGGATGGTAGCTCTTGCTGAGGCCACAAAGCCTGCCAAGCTTCAAGGAGATAGGTGCAGGGGATTCTGGGTTCTGGGGCCCTGTACCTCTAGCTGCTGCCAGGCAAAACTCGTGTCATGGGTACTTGTGCAACTGTCCATCTTGGGGCACCTGGGGGGCGGGGGGAACCCTATTGCAGGCCTGGCTGCTAGGCCCAGCTGTTAAAGAGAGGTGCAGGGGGGTTCTGGGGCCCTGCACCCCTAGCTGCTGATGGACAAAACTCACAACATGGGTGCTTGTGCAACTCATTGTCTTGGGCCAGAAGCAGTTCCCAGCTATGTATTGATTCTTTCCTCTCCTTAGTCTGTGGTTTTGTAGGTGTTAATCCTTACTCATTATCAAGGAGCTAGCTGCTGTGTATTGAGCTGGTTCCTGAGTGAATCAGGATTGATTGGTAACACAGTAGTTTAGCAGCCAGGCCTGCAATAGGTTTCTTCCCCCCACCCTATGCCCCAAAACAGACAGTCCCACAAGTACACAACACAAATTTTGCCCATCAGCAGCTAGGGGTGCAGGGCCCCAGAACCCCTGTACCTATCTCCTTGACAGCTGGCAGGCTTCATGGCCTCAGCAGGGACTAGCAGGTCTACAGCTTTCACCCTGCTGCACCTTAACACACGGTGTCACCCGTGTCTTGTGTTTTGTTTGTCTGCAGCTTGAGGTACAGTTTCCCCCAAACCCCTGTGCCTATCTCACTGAAACTTGGCAGGCTGTGTGGCCTCAGCAGGGGCTACCACCCCTGCAGTTTTCACCCCCTGTGCCTTAACACACACAGTGTCACCTATATGATGAGTTTGCTTGTCAGCAGCTTGAGATGCAGTGTCCCAGAATCCCATGCAATTACCTCCTTGAAACTTGGCATGCTTTCTGGCCTCAGCAAGAGCTACCATCCCTGCGGTTTTCACCCCATTGTGGCTTAACACACATGACATGAGTTTTAATTTCAAGACTTTGAGGTGGTTTCCCAGAACCCCCTGCACCTACCACCTTGAAACTTGGCACACCTCATGCTGTTAGCAGAGGCTACCATCCCTGCAAGCTTAATTCAAATCAGCCAAAAAACAATGAAGTTATAGATAACTCATTGCTTCCCCGTTATACTCTATGACCAAATCTCTGAATCTTTTCCAAATCGGAAGCTCCAATTTGATTCAGAAAGCCTAAATCTTCCAGCGATTCGATTCAGATTTATAGATTCGGCCTCTGAATCATCCGAATTACGATCCAAAGCTTTGCACAGCCCTATTAGTGGCATAGTTCACATCTGAAGATAAACATTCATTTAAGTACTTTGCTGAATCATATGTTCCCCCTTGCCTTTATACTCAGCCCTGCCATGACCAACAAATATTTAAAAAAAATTAAAATAGTTTTTCCTGTAAGTGTGGGGTTTAAGCTCCAATGATGCTATCTCCTCCTTTTTCTCCTCCTGACTCCCCGTACTTGAAGGTCTAGTTAAAAAACTTTCAAGCTCCAGTGGGATTTTGATTAGTATAATATGGGATTGTTGGCCTAGCTTGATATTTCCCCCTAAGGAATATTACACACAGAGAAATTAAAAATGGAGTTCATGATGCAGTTATTGCTTTTTGGACATTGTGATCACTTTATGCTCAGTGAAGAGTATGCTATAAGCACCTGGAGTTTTGTAGCTTTCTTGGTTTTAGAAATATTTGACTGTTCTTCTACTTTGGCAATAGAAACGTTGATGATTACTGAAAAGATCTGGCCTTGCACTTAGAATGCACAGTAAACAGCACAAAGCCCACAAGGAAGCCAATTCTTCTGTGACTTGCAGAGAGTGCATCAATTACTTGTTCCAAGTAGGTACCTTTCTATATTAATTACCGATTAGCTTCAGTGCAAGTGACTACACAAAGTAGAGGTGGTTTAACATTTTTCAGACTGCCATTTCATTAAGTCCCAGTTATTTTTGTTTGAAACATCCACAATACATTTCCATCAAAATGAAGGCAGGGCCCTAAGGGTTTCTGGCCTGGATCCCCGTTTGGGTTGCTTGGCATATGAGGATCACAGAACCTTAGAGGCAATCCACTGGTGGGTCTATCATGAAGCAAAGTACCTTGAACACCCTTTCTAGCTCCTCAGTGAATTTTGTTCTTGTAAAAAGGCAGAGCTTTTGATTTGTATGAAATTTATTTCAATTGAATGTGAATCAAATCAATGTGGGGAAAGAGAGAGAGGAGAGATTTTCCATGAACCAGAAGGCCTGCCTTTTGTCCCTCTCTAAAGAAAGGAACAAGCATCAGTTAAAGAGGTCTGAAGCATGAGGAGTTTCTCTAGAATTGACAGCTATTGTTTTAAAGTCAGGGCAGGATCCAGTTCAGGTACAGTCATATTGTCACCCCCCCCTTTCCCCACA